TTGCAAAAGCGGAGAAAGCTGAGCACCTTCAATGTTTGAATGATATATAAAATGTGCAATATCTTTTTTAATATCCTTTTAGTTATTATTTTGTTACAATTATTTTATTTTCTCTTATTATTTAATTTTCAGTTATAGTTGTTTTTAGTTTGTACACTGTTTTTTGTTTTGTTTCCAGTTATGTATTTTATTTATTTCTTATCTTTATTCTGAATATAATTTTTTTAGTAATTCCAATTTTTTTTTAAATTTTAAGCTCCTCCTTAAAAAAATAACATTAATTTATAGTGTTACGGAAATTTTATAAATTATATCGGGTCTTGCCATAGAATACTTTGTCATTTGGTGTACATATTGACATTAAAAACAAAAAATCAATATTTTTTGACATATTGGGTTTTGCCTTAGTACCACAGATATATGGCTCTTGGCAAAACCTCCCGATATAAATTGGTAACTTGGTGTGGTAATGCAATACCTCATTTATACATCTCAAGTACGATTCTACTCCTGTATACGTCTGCCAGCAAACAACTTAGTTATAAGAAGCACTACATAATTAGTATTCTTGTGAATTTCCCTCTCTAGGGTTTGCATAGAGTATTCACATTCTGTTATTTCGATTTTGAACTTATGTTTAGTGAAATTGTTTTGTACTTTGTACTCGTAAATTTGAGATTCATCAAAAAAATGCTCGAATCGAAGTTTCTGTAAAAGCGTGTTTTCACGGGTCGATCTAAGTTGAACCACCTGGGTTATTCAACCATGGTTCGATCTGAGTTGAAAGCAAAAAGGTTTACACGATAGGCGATGTATGTTGACCAAAAATAAAAACGACACCACTTTGCTTTCGATTCAATGTTCGACACAAATTGTTCGACTCAGATCGACCCGTGAAAACGCGCCTTAATAACGGCACACACCAGCTGGACGGCCGGACCCCAAAATGCCATGATGCGGTGTTGCCTTTTTCTCTTCATGGCTCGTTAGTTGAAGGTGGCGCTGCTCGAACCTTAATCTAACCTAGTTTTAGTGGCATGTCGATCTTTGTCTCTCACTGTCACTATTTCTTTTCTACTGAAAAAGGCTCAAAGTCGTTTTGATGGTAAAGTGACATTCCAAATATAGGCACCTATCGAACAGGTTTGCAAACTCTCTATGCCGAGGCTTGCAAGCATATGAATAAAATTAAACCATGAAATTGTATCACACAAAATTATATGTTTACCAAATTTAAAAAAAAATATGCAGTGTAGTTTGTAGTAGCTATTGATACTCTCAGAACTTTCCACGTTTCAATATAGGATCATTTTGAAATTTTAGATACCTACACAACATCTGTATTATAGATGAAATTTAAAATGTTACATTTCAAAATTGATGACCGCTTTTAAAAAGATTGTTTTGACGGCAAGTACGGTAATCCCAAAGTTGTCAAAGTCATAAACACAGGTGCTTGGGATTTATTAAAAAATCTCACCAAAATAAAGAAAAACAAAGCTTAACGACGCAACACTATTTCTACGAGCGCCCAAGCTCACAAAGTATATATTTTAGAGCTTGGCATAGTAGGAGGTATAACCTAATAAAAGAAAAATGATCAAATCATATTTGGATCCGTTATTTTCAGGTTATAGAAAAGGAAATGATTACACAACATTATAACCTTTTTCACGAGTATCCATTACAGTAGAATGGCAGCTGATTATCTAGTAATATTTCAAAATGGAGAAGTTTCGTGATATTCTGAATCGCATATGTAATGACATACCAGCAAAATATAGACTAAATTTAATCAACCAGTGGAAAAATTATTGAAATCAGTCAATGAATGATAGACAAATTGATACTTAAATGTGGCGCATTATAGCGCGAAATTATTGCTGACGTTCGTTCGCGTCTGACGTCACACTTCACTAGTGCTCAGCGTCTCGTCGCGTAGGTGTTCGACAGCGTCTGTGCGTTTAGTCATTAGTCTATAGACAATTCATAAGACACACCTGTGCGCTCGGACACGTGGTTTCCAGTTGATAACTATTGAGTACTGCGTAAGTTCATACCATTATGGAAGCCGGATTTGTAAAAGGGTTAAATGACAATTTGCCTAAAATTGACATTTATGCTGTGATGGAATTTATTTCTTCGAATCCATCATACACAAGCGCGGAAATAAAAGGTGTTAAACTTTGGAAGTAAGTATTTATGTCTACTGCTACACTATCACAACTAGCGGCAAAATGTGCGATACCCTACTGAGGTTTTAAACAAATTAGTGTTGATGCTTAATATAAGTACAGATTTGCGAATATGACACGATACTTTTCTAAAATCTCATTAAAGTAGGTTTATAATAACATTACACATGCACATAGTAAAGAGTCAACCTACCTGACGCCTTTTTAGGGGGGTAAGTGACACTACAGTAGCTCACAGCTATTCTCGCTGAGTTGAAATAAGTGATCTATAATATTAGTTGATAGATATTTCCCCTCCAAATGCCGTGTGTACAGTGAAATGAGTTTGGAAATCATATAATAACTACAGGGTGACTTCGAAGTTGAGTCATTTATTTTAACAGTGAGTAGATCTGATCAAAAGAAATGTTTTTTTCTTTACCATTTTTCTGGTAAAATTAAAGTAACAAAGTTATAGCCCTTTGGAAGTTTGAGTACCGCCCTGTCTCAATAATAATATTATGTGCTCGTGTTTGGCAACAACGGATATAATCCGCCTTATCGGTTCATCGCATCGGAAACAAAAAAGCGAAAGAATTTGAAACGATGTTTTTACAATTATTTTATTCAGTTGTATTCAGTCAGTGTCAGTCGGTAACGCGTGAGTGAATAGTGGTGTCTGTTGCGTGACTCAAATGAAATCAAAAATGGCACATGTTTACGAAAATGCTGAACTTGTGGACATGATTCTTATTTACGCGGCATCACGGATTTATGCGGATCGGTTTCCCAATCGAGTGCAACCAACCCCTCGTGCCTTTGTTAATGTAGTACAAAGGGCTCGTGAATCAGGTGACTTAAGACCTCACAGGGGAGGGCATGCCGGTGCTCCAAGACCGCACGATCAAATACAGGTCCGCACTGAAATACTTGTCGGGAGGATACTTTATAAAACAAGGTAACATTTTAATTTTTTTTTATTTTTACACACATATTTTGGTTTATCTTCCTTCTACAATCATTATCTGAAAATTAATGACTCAACTTCAAAGTCACCCTGTATAAATACTAAAGTGATATACTCACAACAAAGTGGTCCTCACAGACGTATGTTGTCCTTTTTGGTCCAATCAAATCACGCTTCATAAGTTTGCACCATTTCTTCCTTATATTTTCATGTGAAGGTAAAAAATGTTTATTAGGGGCTGTCATTGTTGTGCTCGTACATTTTGCAACGGTACAGTATGTATAACAACCTTTTTTCCTTATTTCGCTCATAACCCATCGTATATGCAAATTGGGGCGGAAGACGTTTAGCCTACCATGTGTCCCACTGTATGTGTGTGCCTATGCATGTGTTTAGGTGATTGAGTCGGCTCGGGCCCAGGAATCGGCCGCGGGCGTTGCAACTGGATACTGAAGTGTAAACGTCACGCATAGCGTACAGGCGGAATAAAAATATTCTCGCAGAGCGCAACTTAGATAGGCTGCAACTTTTTTGTTTTTAGAGATAAATTAATAAGTTTTTCACCATCTTGTTTCATTTTTCCTAAACTTTCATTTGAGCTAATACCAAAAAATGGTAAACTTGTCCATTCCCCAAGGCAAAGGACACATAATTGTGACGGTTCCGACGGTGCCAGGCAGACAGCGCCATATGTTGTGTTGGCTTCTTGAACGCTACAGATTCATTTTGTACTTGCTAAAAGCTTTTTTATTTATAAAAGTTTATTTGTATACAAAAAACAAAACGCTACCATGATGGATACTCGTAAAATAGGGTAAAGATAGGCGGTCAGACGTGACTTTCAAGGTTTTTCGTGATGCCCATGAGCGTCCGTAGGAGGGGGAGCATTGACAAAAGATAACTTTTTGTGAAAGTGTACCGGCCCCCAAAACATTTTGAAGAGCGTATGTAGCAAATTTCCCAGGGGAGGAGGCAAATCGAAAAGTCCTCAAAATTATACCCAAAATCGTGCTAGATATGCAAATTTTAAGGTCTAACCGCATTCCCAGCAGCCTTGTCGCCGCCTATGGCTGTTGTCACCTGTTTTTGTCATATTTAAATCTAAAATACTACAATTTCGATTTAAAACACTTGAGGATATAATTGAATATATTTTTGGTAATTCTCTAGCTTAGTTACACCAGCATTTCTTGTTTCTTCGGCCGAATAGGCATTAGGTTTGGGTTGTAAATGATGGAAATGAGATCAAAGATGCCCGCAAATGGGTTAGTTGCAGAATATTGTTGATATTATCTGGGTTTTAAAGGTATAAAAACCTTCATAATAACGACATTTGCAGCGCACCGCTAGTGCATTAGACATTATGTAGGGTTGTGTCGAGTTCAAACTCATACATATACATTTAATTATCAAGAATATCCATCAACACGAAAACCTATGAAGTAATGAAATCTGGCAACATCGCACAACCTTTGAAAATAAACATTAAATAAAAACCTATTACATAGTAAAATATTTCAGAACTTTCGTGTTTGCGGTCATTTTCGGTCCCAATTCCTTCATCTAGATCCAAAAACTAGGGTCTGAAATCATTTTTTCATCAAAAACCGCTGGTGTAGTTAAGGTAGAGAATTACCATATTTTTCGACATTTTGTATGTCAAGATCCTGTAGAACAAAAAGTGGTTGTAGTGATGAACTTTTCGTCTTGAAATATACACATAGGCAACTCTCTGTATACGTGCCTATAAAATGAACTGTACTGCATACAGATTACGTGTAAGTGCTTGAGCACTGGTGCTGCCTGTGGCGCCAAATGCCTGGCTGATTCAAAACGTGTTCGAAATCCAGTGGCGATTTGTGGAATTAAATAGGCGCGTATCTCACGTGACCGCGTCAGACCAATAGCGAGCCAACCTTTGTGCCCGCCGCCAAGCTCATCTGGAAGTACATTTGCACGAAACACCTCGTCTTTCCGAACTTGTGTGCGTGTTAAAAAGCCCTCCAGCATTCAGATTCGTACAAAATACAAAAGTGCAATAATTTATTAACTTGAGTAGCCACTCAATTTGCTTTTCGTACGGGCGGATTCCGAACAGGAGGCGCCGGAAAATCGCCTTGACGAGGTCGCCATTTTGGTAAACGGATGTGGGGAGCGAATGTGTGTCTAGGGTTTTCGCGAAAATAAAGGGATTTTTCGGGGGTTTTCCTAGACATTTTCCATACCTCCACGTCCCGAAGTTATCGACGATGACGCAACAAACAAATACAACGAACTGGGTGATACAAGGATCGAATGGTAATTTTCGAAAATTCAGCACATTTCATTCGTATGTTTCTCATAGATGCACGATGTACCTTGAATTTTTCTGTCATAGTAACTCAATTTTCCAATAAACAAAACTTCATTGTATAGTCAGAAAATTGACGTATCGAATAGAATCTTTCGTATGGAGCTAACTTTCATGGGGAATTATTGGCGGTAGAGAATATAATGTCCAAGAAAATAAAGTAAAATAAACAAGAAAATTAACGTTTTTCTTTACATCAACGTAGGTCAGCCACAAATGATCAAGTTGGTGCAGTCAGGTGGCAAAAGTGGTATTATGACTACCACTACCGTAGCTGGTCAGCCAGTAAAAATTTTCAAACCGCCTACAAACACTCCAGATTCTTCACAGGTAAGTTGATCCATTATAATCGGTATAATTTTTTATGTGATGTTTCATAACCCTCTATTGTTATTTTTGCTTGTTCACCTTCGTTCAATTAACCGTATCACGTTTTTTTCGCATATGGACAGGTACCAGGATCTTTTTAGCTTAGCTTTTGGCAATATTTGAACATTATATTTTTTAGGATACGTTAGTTTTGTATACGTGTTTTGGAAGTCTAAAACCTCTGTATGCATAAAAAAGTTTATACATTCATTCATTTTAGTCCGTTTTTGATTCATCATGGTTTACTAATTTTTATTACATTATGAACCACCTGTATTCTGTTTTATGCAAATTATTGATGTTTTACTTGTTTGTTATTCAGGACAAAGTCCAACACCCAGGAACCTTTTTTCAAAACCAAAACAGGATATCTTTGAAACACAGTTATAATCTTGCAAGTTTCTAAAGTATCAATCAAGAAAAGCAGTGACTTTGTTTTAGTTTTAACATGCATGTTGTTTATACAAGATGAGTTTCCTGAAGTTTCAAATGAAAGTCGAACAGCTTGACAATACTGTAACAGTTTTCATAAACCCTATTTTACGAGTTTCCATCACGTTTTCACGTCTACTGAGGTGAACAGCTGATTAAAAAGTGACGTATCCGACTATAAAGTTCGCAATAATGAATCGGGTGCAAAACTAGTAAAACTTGTAGGGTTTTTTTTTGTAAGCAAATGAACTTTTCTCAATAAGAGAGTTGTTATCAACTACAAAATGAATATATAGGCTACCAAAAACCATAACAATATACGGCTCTGCCGACCTGGGCTAGACAGGTCCGTCAGAATTATATGTTATTTGTCGATATGGGGAATTTTGAAATATTACTCAATAATCAGCTGTTATTCTACCCTATTGGATACTCGTGAAAAAGACAATATAGGGATGGAACTAGCAGGGGAAGGTGGGGAAAAATTCTCTCAACAGAAGCTATAATATATTATTGCAATAAAATAGATTATCTGTATTTAAATTTATGAGTAGAATTGTTACATGCTAAAAATATTTATTGCTCTAAATGGTGTAGATATTTGGCCTCATTTTATGTCATCTGTAGGTGTTCTCACGGTTTTTGGCAGGTCACAGTAAAACTACAGGAATTACTTCCATGCATCAATTTCCTTCACACATAGATTTACACTGAAATCCAGATTTTTCTGATGGCTAGAGCTCAAAGTGTACAAGAGAGAGAGAGGGGGGTGTGTATAAACACATGTGCTAGAATGAGATAGAATTCGGATGGATAGCGAAGCTCCTCACCGCGTTGTCCAGCAATGCTGACACGGCAGTATGACGCGTTGCCAATATGTTACACACATTTCTTGAATTGAGATGCATGTTGAAAATACCCGTTAGTTTATTCTCTACGCTAAATGGTTTTATTTTGATCATACACATTTTTGAATTGTGAATTGTGTCGATTATGTTAAGGTTCGATTTCGGATCGATCCTAACAGCGCGCCCTTTTAGGTCGAAATAAAAGCTCAAGATTCACTAATTCGGCATTCCGCATCTTGTACATTCCAAGGCAAGGTTTCCACCTCCATGATCATAATTGAGCGATTTTGGTCAGTACCCATTTAGCGCTCCTAGCGGAGTGTCGTCCTGCATCGAAATAGCTTTCACCTGCGTACACGCATGCAGTGATAATTTGTATTGCGTAACGTTATTTGTTACATTCTCCGGCTGTAGCGCTGTCGCAAAATGTAACAATAACTCAGGATTTGTTATTTTATTACAATCAGCGGAAATTAAAATTGAAGTAAATAGGTCTAATTAAAATGAAAACAAATTATTAAATTAAATAGATAGACCTTCTTCTTAGGTTTGACAGTAACCTAACCAATCGTAGAAGCCCGTGCGAACATTTTCTGGTGTAACATAATGGCAACGCGGCAGATTGCACGACCTTCTACGTCACCATCGATAATCAATGTGGTGATGACCTTCGCTCTTCAGCCGGCTTCTATCTCTTTCTAACATGTGTTGATACACACTTCTCGCGCTTCTCTCTCGTAGACATTGAACTCAAGCCGTCAAAGGTTTCTCCTGTATACAGGGCGTTCCAATATTACGTGGACAAAGAAGTACCACGTATTTTTGGGCATGATTTACGTTCTTTTTAAAACAAATTTTTTCGTATACGTTTTCGAACTGGTAGTCCGATTTGAATGAAATTTGGAGCAGGTGTGTTTTGCTTGACTTAAAAAAAAAAACAAAAATTCTAGTACTCCCAGAAACATTTTTTTATTGAAAAACTTGCAAAAGTATGCTCAAAATTTCAGCACTCCCAGTCGCAGTTGCATATTCTATCTCATTTAATGTATTACCAGAATCGACAACTGCAAACTGATGGAAACTGAGCTGTTGGAACTGTGGTTTAGTAGCTCATTTACCATGAAACCAGATGAATTATTTCCACCTGAAAGATTTCCTACCTATGATGCTTCAACCTCGCCTGTTGAAGTGAACAGTAAAAATAAAAATGTCTGATAAAACGCACAACATTGTAACTATAAATTCACATCTGGGTACATCTGGAAATTTAAATATTATATTTTTCACAGCCCACAGTATTGGTATGTTACCTACTCGAATGCCTATGTAAAAAACTCGTTGATCTGCCCCTCGAGATAAGGCTGCACCACCACTTTGCAACCGAATGTGCTAAGACCGTTAGCGTTAAGTCAGTGGCGTCTCCAATTATTTTCGTTTAGGTGTAAACGCGTGCGGCTCGAGTAGTAATGTGCTTTCTAGTTCATTTGCGTGTACTATGTTAGCTCAGAAGGTCGCGGTCACTAAAACGAACTAGTTCTATTAACTATTTCGCGAACGAACTATTTTACACAACAATTATGTCAGTAAAAGCATCGTCTCTCAATCTTTCATCCGATCGCCGAAGTTGAGCAGCGTCAGGCGCTTTCTAACAATGTCAAATAATGTGGGATACGCTTTGGTATTTTTTTCATCAGTTCGCAAGATTTTTAATAAATAAAACGTACCTCTGATCAGTGTTGTCAGATGTTCTTTCGGGAGAATGATCCTCATTTTTAGCGTGAAGTTTTGGTTTATCTTTTTTCTACAAATATTTTTAAATGGAAATTCGTAGTGAATCTACATTTTCATTTTAGTATTTTTAAATTTTTTAATGAGCCGCAACTTATGATCTTTTTTTAAAGTTAGCTAATTTAGCATTTGTTATTTGTTTTTTATAACCTCCAAGCAAAATACAACCTTCTGCTTACACTTGTGTTCCTTCTCCTAATACCAGTCGTTCACAGTGAACGAGTTTTTCAAGGAATGATGAACTAGTTCACCTATTTTTCCACATGTCTGGGGTAACCGTTTGTAGAGCCTCGTTCCACATATCCAAACAGTCTTTTTCACTGTTACCATCTCTACCAATATGTCTGTTATAGTAACCTTTTGCTATGCCCCAAATTAACTCAATAGGGTTAAATATACAATGGTAAGGAGGCAGACGAAGAACTTTGTGCCCATGTTGTTCCGCCAATTCATCAATCACGTATATTTTAGGTGGTTTGTTTCTAAAAAAGCAGTTATTTTAAGAATAGGAATAAACAAAAGAAATATAAACTGTCGACCAAAATATATATAATTAAGAAGCATTATGTACCGAGCAACAATACTCAATAGCTCTGTTTTAAACATTGTGTTTAAAAATGGTATGTTTTGATTTGTCAACCAGTCTTGGATATTTTTTTGTGTCCATGCATTATTGGGCACTTTGTTCAATATCATGCTGTGATAAGGGGCGTTATCCAGTATAATCATAGATGGACTCTCCAATTTTTCTAATAACTGATGTTGAAACCATTTCAAAAAATTGTCCTGGTTCATCTCTCCATGGTAATCACTCAATTTTGTTTTCGAAGAAAATATCGCTTCACTACCCTCAATAAACCCATTTTCATTTCCAGCATGTAATATAATGTATCTAAAATATATTAGTTTTAAATTTTATAGTGCAAATTGTGTAAAAGTACATACCTTTTACCATCTGTTTTAATAGCTTTCACGCTTTTTTGGTTTCCATTTTGCCAAGAGTGACCTATGGTCCCATTTTGAAATATCCAAGTTTCATCGAGGAAGACAAACTGGTATAATGCCTCAACCTTGGCTTGATTGTATTGCCTTAGAAATTCCACCCTTTTCAAAGCTATACTTGGTAGTTCCATGAGCCTCGTCGCGGATTGTCCTTAAGCCACTTAAATCCAAGATCTCTAAGCAACCGCCTTAAAGACGTGGCACTACCATCAAATAATGCCCTATCTCTTAATCGAGACCATAAAGTTTGTACCGTAACTTGTTCTTCTGAAACCATGTGTAATATGACATTATAATTTAGTTAACAAATTAATGCAAATTTCTGATAAGTTATTATAATAAGATCTTACTTTTGTGATACATATTATAGATCACTTCTCGAATGGCACTTGTATCCAATGTCGCTGTGTTGGTTACACGTTTAATATAACTCCGCTTTTTCTTGGGCGATTCTAAATTTGCATCACTTTTCACACCCTCGGAAATACGACTAACTGTCCTTAAACTAATTTTTAAAGCAGCAGCAACACGCTACAAAAAATGAAATAAAATTTCACTATTATTAATATACATTACATATAATTATTAGTAACCTACCTCTTGAACAGCATTTAAAGGCAACAAAGGCCCGTTGTTGTCCCTTTCTTGCTCAAAGTAGTGCATTAACGAGGCCACGAGTTCCTTACACCGACTATTTAACTGTTTGGGCATCTTTATATACCAAAATTGCCTTTATCTACTCGTAAAATGAATAATTTTGTTTTGAAACAAACAGTTGTTGATTTACAGTATGCGGGGCCAAAGGATTTATAAAGATTTGAAATGCCACAAATTGATTCAGTGTCAAAATTAATACAAATGTCAGTTCCCAGTTTAAATAAGTTTCAAGGT